ACGGTCAAAGCGGGTGGGTGGCTGTGGTAAGCATCCTCTGGAGATTTCTCGCCATCACCGTCTATGTCAGCGAAGCTCTGTCCAATGTACATGCCTCAGCCAAATCTGCATGCACAGCACTGCCAAAACTCAACGACAGAATGTCATCCGGACTACCGCGCAACATCTTGGCAGAAGGCTGGTAATCCGATCTAAGTGCGGCATATCCAGGTCGACCAACTTCTTTGCGATGGCCTCTGCTTCATGCGCACGTGCTCAAACACAAGTTTCGGCCGTCGGTTTTGCGACACCGACGCCGCTTCGCAAAACTGAATTGCGTTCCGCGTCCGGGTACCACGGGTCGCACGGCAGGCGCCTCCTCTTCAGTTGTGTCTGGCTTCTGGCGTGCCTGATGCATAGGGTCGCAAGGTTGCAAGCCCCAAGCCGAGCACGAAGAGTCCACACCGCTGTCGGGAAGATCGAATAACGACTGGTTCGAGCAGCCACGGCCTGTGCTGCTTCCCTGGCAGCATTCCGAACTTCCGCCTTGGCAGAAACGGCACGGACGAAGTGCACTCTGGTGGCTGCTCGCACTCCTCGCACTCCTCGCACTTCTTGCACTCGCACTCCCAGCCTGCTCACCAGGCCATGCCTCGAGCCGTCCGAAGGATGCCGCGCGAGAATGGCTGAGACTGCGAGACCTTCAAGGCTTGATCTGCAGGTCCTGTCTGTCTGACAGGATGCCCTCCGTGTTGCAACATGGGCTCACACTTTTCGACCGACCATACGCTGCTGCAAAATGGCTGGGTCCTAACAGCGTGCAAATTGCGCATGATGACAGGCACGTCTCAACATTTTGGGCATATATCGTCTTCCTGAGCTGCCGCGTCATTGACGGCAAGCCTGAATGGCAAAGCGAGGAGCAGCTGGGAGGAAACTCTCGACTTGCCAAAGCCTGGTGATGTTGCCGACAATGGAGGCAGCAGCACACCGGACCGAGACTTTTTTAACCTTTCACCATCGTGCGTGGTCAAGCCATCACGACATATGCCTGCTGAGCGCGCATACAGCGACGGTGCAACCAAGACACTGCAAAGGCACGCCGCGACCATTTAGGCTGCGAACCGAGAGCTCACCGGTACCTCAACTGCATTGCGTGCCTGCTGACCATACTGATCGTAAGCTTCTGCGGGAACAACGTCACACATGTACCAAGGCTTTAACTGGATGATCTGTCCATAGTCCGCTCCATGCCTGGCCGAACTGTCTATGCCCAAGGAGCCTGCAGGCATAAATGCTGTTGAATCCTGCCTGGCATCAACTTCACTTTCGCCTGAATGCACATTCAATCACATCACATCTGTCACAGTAACATGGCTGGTAATGTCTGCAGATGTCGTGAGGCCTGCGAGGAAGATCTGCCCTCATGGGTGGAAACGCTTTGCTGCGTCTTTGTTGTAAGAAAAGCTGGACGATTCTCAGTGTTTCTATGTTTGTACTCAGGACGAACCTTTTGATGACCTCTCCATTGATTTCATGGTGTGATCCTGCGCTAAAAACTGGCCACTAAATGATTCAAGGGCTAGTTAAACTGTTTACATGGCACTCGATGCCTGGTCAGCCTAAAAGGAAAAGTCGAGCGTATGAACTGGTTCATATATTGCACTGACTAGTATACATAGAAAAAACAATGGTGGGATGCCTTCTTCTGCCGAGCTGGATGAAGATAAGTTCGCACGGAAATCCCTCTAAGTGCCGGTGCAACAGGCTGAAGTGAACTTTCCCAAGTTTCGCCAAACATCTGAGCTTTCCGACGCAAGTGTTGAAAGGAGGAAACTTCACAGCCTGAACCCCATGTCCAACACTCCAACATATTCATGCACCTGAAGTCACTTCCCATGTCGTGTGGTGATGTGTGGCGTGTTGCCCTTCCCTGCGACAGCTGAGAACTGGTGCTGCTTCATCACAGGGTCTACGGAGTGTGGTGTCAAGAACATCTGTAAACACGGTTTCGTTTGTGTTTTGCTGTTGCTTGGAACACATGCTAAGCCAAGCGGTCCCCACGCTCATATTTCCCTTGTTCTCAAAATCATAGAAGCACATGCAGTCTGAAACGTTGCAGAAGCAGCGAAGTTGGATGAACCTGTTTGTACCGAACACGGTTGCGGTGCCCCCGGGTTACAGCGGATGGTATCTATATCCAGGTTCCTGCACTCTTCAGATTGACCCCCTGGGGGAACTTCCATCGAGTCGTATCCGATGAAGCATTCGATCAGAAAAATTTCAATGTCAAGCTTCGTGTCGCCGTGATACTACCTCAAAGAAGAGGGATAAGCTGAGATCGGTCGAAATTCTTTTGCAGCAGACTCATAACGGGTACCATCACTGTACCTCATACCTGAAATCCTACTGGGCCTACTAAACATGTCATCATAGCAACCACAAGTTAAAAAATAACAAAAAAAACTCATCTACACATGAACTCTGTTGAAGAATGGAAAGCAGTTGCAGGTGGCTCCCGCCGCTGATTGAGCACATCAAGCGGCGCCGCTTGACAGAACACGTCAGCATTCGTCAGCGCCGCTAGAACAGGTCAATCTCATCTGACTGGCTCCAAGCTGCAATCTGCAACACGTTTGCATTACCGGTGCTGTACACACTGCTCCTTTGTTCGACTTCGCTGTAAACGGTGGAAAAGGAAGCGGTACCTCGGAGCTTCGATCTCCGAGGGCGCTGAGAGTCCGCCGAAAAATAGAACCCGAGAAACTGGAGAAGACATGATCGCGCTGCTCCGTTGCTTACTCATTTGGCTGCTGTAAAAGGTGGACAGAAGGAAGCGACACCCTGGAGAGCTCCGATCTCCGAGGAGAGTCCACTAATCTCTCACATGAAACAGGCCTCAACCTGCAGGTAGAACTCGTGTGGAAGATGACCTAAACCTTATCCTCCATTGTAGCGGCATTGCAGCGCTGACACTACAACCTTGGAAAGTCTGCCAGAGAGTCGTAGGCGTCGCCTTAAAAGGCGAATATCGCGGCCTCAACTCCTTCTGTAAACTTCTAAAGAACCTGTGTGGAAGGAGCTTGGAGAGAAAGTCAAGCTAGAACTCAAAACTGCAAGAGAGTGCTCAAAGCTTTTTACATACTCACTACGAGCTTGGCGGATGGCTGGTTTTCTAAAGCAAGAGCCAAGGATGAACGATCAAGTCCGTGGAAGATAGCAAGTCCTGCTGTTGTGCTCGTAGCATTTCCTCCGGATTCGCGTGGAAGATAGTCAGAGCAACAGTCGTCCACGCCTTTGATCCGTCCCGCAGGATTTGCCGGACGTTCCGTCCCGAACCATGCCGAGGCTCTCAGCTTTATCGGACGAGCGCCTGCCAACCTAAAGACAAAGCAACCCGAAGAGTTTAAGGGGGCGGGAAGTAGAAAATGTTGCGCAGAACAGCTTTAAGCTGGAAAAGGTCTGGCACAGCAACGCGTCTTTTATACAAAACGAGACCATGGGCAGGCAGTTCTGGAGTGGAAACGGCTCTCAGACAAAACCCAAGTGCTGCCTCCGCTTCCATTTCCACAAACCCTTAAGCAAGCAGGTGGCTCAAGCCAACACGCGTTGCCATCTGTTTTTTTTTTTTTTTTTCTCAGGGCTTTTTGTTTTTTTTTCGCAAAATGTTTCTGCCAACTCTTCATCCTGATGTTTACTACTGATGTGTCAGCTTTTGCCCTTTGACTGTCAACATGGCTCATTCAAGTGGCGTGTATGATCGGAGCCAAGTTCGATCAATTAAATGTTAGGCTCGGAGGTCGAGTTGCGCAGTCAAAGCACCACAACGCTCAAGACATGTGTTGACAACACTCAATAAGTCTTCATTGTCACATTGCAGGCACTATAGTGTCCAAGGAGCATCAGCAACCTAGTCTTGTCGCGATTTTCATTGACAGCAGCGATGGTGCACAAGGTGGATGGTGTCGCTTGATGTTCGTCTGCATGTTGTGAAGCCTTGTTGCATCGGCTTTTGGTACAATTGTGTCGAAAATCTGTAGTTGGGTGGTGTTGTCCTCTTCCATTCTCCAAGCTGCGCAGGTTATTTTGCTTCGCCATGGCGAAAGTGAGTGGAGTGCAGCTTGACAGCAAGGGCTTTTAGTTAGTTTTGGTCATCTGGCATGATGCGCGTGACTGCAGTCAGTTTGGAGTTGTGCAATGACGGTTGGCCTTTCATTTTGCAATGCAGCTTCTTCGAAGGTGACACGTGACCAATGCAAGACAAGTAGACAGCGCACCACTGTAAACTTGTTATCGTTTCGCATCTCGCGCCAGCGGTCGTATTGCTCCGCTACGTCAGCCACACAGACTGGACGGCAAGTTCACTGTCCGGTCTTGTCCTCTGATGACGGGCCCTGCCGGAGTTCGGAACGGGAGCCCGGAACATGGAAATGCCGCCAGGACGACTTCTTGTGCAGCAGTGTCATCCAGCATGGACAGTTTGTTCTGTTTTGGTTGGCAGGGTTTTAGCCTATAGCGCCGAGAAAGAGTCATGCTGTAGAATACCGTGGCAAGGCATGACGGTGGTCAATCAGTGGTCTGCGTGTGCGTGGGCAGACGGAAACATTCCAACGTTTTTGGAGCATATCGACGGTTTCTCCGGTTGCTGTTAGGCAGTACGTGTGCCTGAAGGAAGTCAATTACACTGGCCGGTGGCCGACGAAACTCCCTGACCGGAGATCGAGCAAGGACATGGTTTTGTTGCATTCCAGTTCTGCAATGTTGCAAGCTGGATCTCGGGCGTCAAAGCTGAGTTCCAGCAAAACTTTCTCGTGACCGCTTCGAGCAACTGAGAGGTGGAAGAACCTAGAAAGTTTGTGCCTTTGTACTTATGTTGCATGGATACTTTCCACAGGACGTCGCCAATTTGCTCTCGCGCCCCTTCACCCAATCGTGCATGGTCGCCACTGTGTGGAATTAGAAGTACCGGTTATTCGGTTTTCGTTCCACACCGTATGAAGAATTATGTCCGCGTGAATAAGGCCCTCGTCCCCGAAGATGGCAGTGGTTCCCGTGACGTCGGCAGCCGCGTGGCCTTTTTTGCTAGTCTGTACCTTCTTGGCTGGCTTTCTTCTAGGCTCACAGGCTGGAAGGCATGACTTCCAGCAGAGTTCCTTTCTTTGGCTCCACAGTAGTGTTTCAGCTTGCAAGATGGACGTAAGCACCCCTGTTCAGCGCAGTAGATCGTGACAAGGTGCTTGGCCCCGGGCCTTTGCCACAGTCTCCTGTCGCAACCAGCTGGGGCTGGAAGCCAGCGACACAGGTGGAGGACGGCTGGCCTCGCGGACCTTGAGAGCCCAGAGGCCGAGTGCTTTCATGCATCCTGAAAGGACCGTCGATACGGCCCCGTCAAATCCGAGCCCTTGGTACGCAAGGCCAACGAACTTCAGCTCAGCATAGAAGTGTTCAGTCTCATCTTTACCGGCCTTGTGCAGGATTCCATGGCCTTCGTGTGCCGTGAGGGCCTGCCCCTTGATTACGGTGCAGTGGCAGAGGACCCTCGACTTGGCATGAAGTGTTCGACAGGCTCCCCCGCATTCCACCCAGCGGGTTCATGTTGATGTTTCTCAATGGCTACCCTTCCAGCCCTCTTTCAGTCCTTCACGACCGGAAAATCTTGCACCCAACAGCTCAGGCCCACACCTTCAGAAGTTCCTGTCAAACTTTGACACAACAGCGAAGGACGTGTGGAAGGACTTCGATGCATCCCTGAGCAAGCTGGCAAACGAGGCGGAGCATCCCGCCGCCGTGACGACCCGCCTTAATGCCTTCAACTGCTCTCATTTGGGCGCAGACACTCCGAGCAAGTGCGCGCCCCTCCGCCGCCTTGTCGAAGGCGGCCTTCCTCCGTGGGATGCTCAAGGCCCTGGGCCGCGAGGCCAAGGGCCGAGGCAGGGCCACCGTGAACCCTGAAGTGTAGTCCTGAAGTAGTCCTCTGAAGTACTGTGAAACGGTGGACTTTGGAGGATTTGACCAGGGGGAGTGTGTAAGGCTCGCGGGTCTCCGCTGTTCTGATCCAGCGGTGACCTCTCTGCCGCTTACCTTTCGTGCCTTATTCCTTAAGAGGAGCTGGGTTCCAAGCAGCTCCCTTTGTAGGGACTCTGGCGAGGCTCTCCCGGTTCTGAAACCGAAGTTCAGCCCCCAGGTTGAGCGTCCTTGTGTTGAGATATTCTGAGAGGTGACGTCCTTCTCATGCCTCTTTAGAGAGGCGGCTGCCCTGCAGGCGACGTTCCTCGCTTGCCGAGCTCGAAGCTGCTACCGATGCCTGTTTGTAAGGACAGGGACAGCCGAAGCACCAGGGTTACCCGGGTCAAACTTGAATTGTGGTGTAAAGAAGGTGATCGCGCAGGTGCAGGGTTTTCATTCGTGTTTGGGGCACGGACGCGAGTCGACGACCGTTGCAGGATATGGTCGTCGAGGAGAGGACCAAGTTGATCGAACCCAGTGCAGGTGGGATTTTTCGGAAGCAAGGGTTGGGCTGCTTAAAACCTCGAAGCATATGCTTCGCGATTTTGCGATTTTTCTGGAGGATCACAAGCCGCAATCATCAAAAAACGGGCAGGAGTTTACAATGGTTCATTACACCCAACCTTTTCAGACTCTTTTCGGACATTTCCAACTTGACATGATGTCCGGTCCGACATGGCTGACGCCTTAAGTGCCTCAGGGCGCAACACTCGAAAAGTATTAGACTCAGACCCGTCGCGGCTGAGGAGGCTTGAAGGGCCGGCTCCGAGAAAACCGCAGCCCCCGCTCCGTTCGTCTGGGCAAGGCTTCCTGGCCGCAGTGCCAGGGGAGCCCTTGGACCCAACCCTGGAATTTTATGGAATCTTCCGGCTCACCTGAGGTTGTGGTGCAAACATACCCCGCGAACAAGGCGGGCTTACGGGCTTCGGGAAGCTCCAGAGAGCGGGAAGGTGCGGTGTCTTTGGTAACAAGAAGGCCCGAGCTCCGAAGCCTAGCTTCGGTTTCGGGCCTAGAAGCTTGGCTACGTATACTCAGTATACTCCAGGGATCTGAATCTGAACTGCGCCTTGAGCTGCTTGTGGCGGGCGGATTCTTCGAGGAGATCATCGAGGACGGCCACGCTCCGCAGCCGCCGGAGAAGGAAGCGCCGACGCGTGTGCGCAGACCTTTCGGCGATGCTGCTCAGCTGGCAGTGGACTCCACAGAATATGTGGACTCCAGCTTACGGCTCTGAATAGCCATGCCACCACTGGTAAGTACGTCGAGAGCAAGATGTGCAAGCCACTCAGGTGAACCTGAACATGAACTCGATGCCGTTCAGGGTGAGAGCTACTGTCGGTTAGACAGTCCGGGATTGAAGTCATCTGTATTTTCTGTATTTCGGTGCCTGCTCCATGCCCTCCAAAAGGGGCCGAGTGTCATTGGTACCGGCCATGGCCGCGGCAGGAAAGTTTTTTGTGTGTTCGGACAAGGGCACTCGGAAAGACGCGTGCTTGTCTGCTAATTAGTCTGGGTAAACACTTCCCAGTTGTGAATCACAGCTTGGTCGTGTTTGTGTAGGTGGAGCGTGAAGCTTTGCTCCGTAATTCGGATGGGCAATCTGCACTGCGTCAATCGCATAGCTTGAAGAAACCAAGGACAGTAGTTTTGTGTTGCTCTTGGGGGCTACAGATGTATCTATCATGCCAGCCCACCTGCAAGCAGTTGTGCTGAGCTCCAAGGATGTCGATGCTATGGCCACATTGCTATCTCTACTATTTCCTTGCTTTCCTTTGATCACTATATTTATTCTGACGAGCAGAGAGAGCCTGCTGTTCTGGGATGTTTCGCAGCACAGGCAGAGAAGAACTTCGCAGGCTGGGAGCTGCCCTGCCAGTGCATCGGGTGAATGGGGGCTTTTGCTCGTGATGCTTTTGCGGCGTTTTGCATATGGTTTCCCTGGAAGTGTTTGGTGATGGTGCCCGTAGTTTCGCAGGCTCCACGCAGCACGGGAGTCCAGGAACCTGTGCAAGGTTCCCCCTTTGTACCTCGAGTCTAAATGCAGATCTTCTCATCCAGGTCTTCTGGGCTGCACTCCTCCTGTCGCCTTGCCCCTAACTCTTTGAACCCATGCCCCGATCCTCGAAGCCCTACTCCCCAAGCCCTTCAAGCTCTTCTCGTTTTGCTCAAGGATGGATGGATGTGGACCTCACAGAGTCTGGCAAGAAAGCGGCAGCAGATGCTGGAAAGTGCCTCAAGGACCATCGCATTTTGCGGTTTAAATTTTTGGGGCGGGTTTAGAATTTTTTGGGTATAGGATTTAGGGTTTTAGTTTCTGGGAATTAGGGTTTTAGGGTTTCGGGTTTTGGGCAGTGTGGCTTCGCGATTTCTCGTTATCCAAGCTTCACCAAGTTTTCATGCGCACGAGTTGCCGCACGCTGCATGATGCGCGTTGTCGCTTGCCAGCTGGCACTGGCACCACTGTGAAACAGGATCCTCCGAGCTCTGTCGTCATAGTGGTTTGCTGCGACACCCCTGGTCGAAATTTAAATATACAGAAAGCGTCATACTGTACTATAACCTACTGTACTGTAATACACTACTCGTATAATAAGATATACCATGCTATACTGTGGTATAGTATAGAGCCCAAATAACTCTTGGGTCAGGAGAAGGGCCTCAAGCCTGGAGTGGTTTTCACCTCCAAGCTGCGCCGATCAGTCTGCACAGCGTGGCACGGCCTGCCTTTATGTGGCCTTCGGGTTTGCTCGGCCTTCTCCATGGTCCATCTCCCAGGTGTTTTTTTTTAAAAGCATTTTTTAGCATGTGTGGTCTTGCACCCTGTAGGGCTCAGAGAACGTCAGGCAAATCGTGAGGGCTTAGCCGATCAATTGTTTTTTCAGAAAGCAGGGAGTACGACACTCACAATCTAGAGCTCGTATGGCTGCAAGATCCTCCATGTGTGATCAAACTTCGGTGATCCCAGTGCGTAAAACTTCTAATGTCCTCTTCACGAGGTGGCTGGCGCTTATGGAGTCGGACAATGTCACCCTGCCACTCGGCTGTGTCAACTTCGGTAGTACGTTTCTGACAGGTGCATGATAGGGAACCAGGCCGCTGAAGCAACGTCGAAGATTCCTTATCAACCCTTGCTTGAGAAGGTCCCTGCCTCGAGCCGATGACGGTGTAACACGAGCGGGTTCTATACGTCGGTGTTGGTCAACAAATCTCGGTTTCGACATATCACGCACATGCACTCGCATCCTAGGCCCATCATCAACTCCTGGCGTCTCAATGAGCGGCACTACGGTGAGCTGGGCCGGGTTGTGTCTGAACATGCCAGGGCTCATCTAGGAGAAGTGTAAGAAGACTTCTCCGAACCCGGGGTGCCGCTCCGCAGCGAGACGTGAGTGGTGATGGGCTTAGAAAGTACGGTGGACAATTCAGCTTGCAGGCCCCTTTGCCCACGCTTCAGATCAACTACCATGTAACCATGATTGCTCGGCTTTTCCAAGTTCGATGACTGGCCATTCACTAGTTGTTTAGCAGGCAGCGCACAGCTAGTTGTTTCGGACACAGTGGTGGGCATGGGGAGAGCCATGGATGTTCGAGCGGGGTAACCGTTTCGATGCGAGATGGCTCTACATGCTGCTTGGAAGCGCTCACCTCGGTCGAAGCCGCTGGAACTTCTGCCGTCCAGGGGTGTTGCGATCTGCTTGTCACTGATTGTATAAAAACCCCGCGCTCTTGAATTTAGTCTTGACCGGTCCCTGCTTGTTGTTTCAAGCGTTTTCCTTGGAAAAACGATGAGAAGAAAAAAACGATAACGTGACATAAGACCACTGCTAAACGAGGCACTCCCAGTACTAATGTTGTACTACAATCCAGCACAATCCAGCCAGCATCCAAATCCAAAACGAGGCACTTCCAGTACTAATGTTGTACTTCAATCAAGCACAATCCATCAAGCTTCCGAAACCGAAACGAGGCACTTCCAGTACTAATGCTGTACTACAATCCAGCACAATCCAGCCTGCATCCGAAACGAGGCACTTCCAGTAGCAATGTTGTACTACAATCAAGCACAATCCAGCCAGCATCCGAGGCGAGGCACTTCCAGTACTAATGTTGTACTACAATCCAGCACAACAACAACAACAAGTACTACTACTACCACCACCACCACCAGTACCAGTACTAGTACTAGCATGAGTACCAATGTTGTTGTAAGAATTACTATGCATATCCCCTGGAAAAACGATGAGAAGAAAAATCGATAACAGGAACCCAGGGATGAGGATTTTTAAACGGGATTATTAATTATACAGCTCCTTGTGGTAAGTAGCTGAGTGCTTTTCGGCTGCTTCGGGCTGCTGTCGTCCTCTCGCTGCTCCGCGCTCTCCTTAAGCTTCTCAGGTCCCGGCATGGTCAAGGCAGGTCACTACCAGGCCGTGCTGGATGCGATGACAGCCAGTGAGATCGAGCGCGTAGGAAGGTGGTTGAGTGGAGGCCATTGAAAGGAAATGCTTGCACTTGCACAAGAAAGATCCTGAAAGTCAAGGGGGTGTTTATTCTTGTCTGCGGATGGTTGGAGGTGGAAGCCTTGCCGCCGCTCTCCAGGCAGTCCTCAGTTTCCTGGTAGTGTTTGGTTTCGAGGATTTTAGAGGTTTGATCTGGGAAGCGGGCTCCTAGGCTTGGGGCTTGTATCTCGTCGACCTAGCATGGGTCGTGGCGGTCACCGGCTTCAAAAAGCCCGTGCCGCACCTGCGCGTAGCATCGCGTAGCCAGGAGCTGCAAGAAGCGCGGCAGCAGCTCCGCAACGTTCTCTCCAGGGCGACTGCGGAGGACTCGCCCCCGGCAGGAGGCGGACCCGTGCGAATTGAGCGAGAGCGCTTCCCGCTTCCCATCTTCGCCAATGCGGCCCTGACAGGCAGAAGTGGAAGCGCTGGTAAGACAAGATTGCGGCACCAGCCTCGGATGGCCCTCCTGTTGAGACTGAAGTTGTGGTCTCCTCTGACGACCAGTTTGCACAGGCTCAAGCTGTGATTTCGAGACCTGCCCAAACGTAGAGTATGATCTACTTGGCTTTGGATACCCTGGCCGCGGAATCACACCGCTTGGGATTCTCACGACCTCAAACTCCAAAGCCGTCCGAGCTGAAGCTGAACTTGAACGCCGAAGCCCTTCGACCCATTCAAAGGTTCCTTGGCCATGCCTCACATCGCCGCTGCGGGCTCTTCCTGCAGCGTGCTGGGATCCCATGCTTGGGGTTTGGAGGACGTTTTGATACTTTTTTGAGCCGGGCCGCGCGGGTTCAGTTTTCAGACATCAGGAGTGCACATCGTTTGGAAGTTTGGAATGGCGGAGCAATGTGCTTTGTTCCGCTGGGCCTTTGCATCCATCCATAGTGGCTTGAGTTGGGTGACGTTCTTGATCAGAACTCCTGCTGAACTGCTTTAGCATGGGGTTCACCAAGGCGTCGTTCCGAGTGTGGCGCTGAGCTGTCTGGTGAACTTGAGGCGGAGGTGCAGGTCGGAGCTGTCGATCTCAGATTTATCTTACGTTCTACTCATATGCTTATCGTGCTGAGCGTTGCTGGCTCAACTCCGAAGCTCCTCCTATGTTGGCCCCATGAGGCCTGGGCCGGCGAGGCGAAGTCGGCGAAGTCCGGACACGGCCCAGCTCCTGCCTTTGGGCTGCGAATCGAATCCTCCAAGTGGTTGGGTTATCGTTTTTTGGTGTTTGTCGGTCTCCGAATGTCTCCGATGTCGCTGCGCCGGGTTTTCCGACTGAGTTCCTGCAGCTGTGCCAAGTGCGGGTTTTCGAGCCGAGGTGTTGGCAGAGCTCCACTTTCGCCTCCGGAACAGGGCAGGGTCATGTCCTGAGCTTGTTTTTGGGTCTTAGTCTTGGGCTTCACCCGCAACCGGCGCCCAGGCTTCTCCGAGCACTCTCCGCCTGGCGGCTGGCTCTGCGCCGCGATGTCCGGTTGCGCAGGCAGGAGAGGCACGGCGGCACTTGCAGAATCGCTTATGTAAAGTCCAGAGAAGCCGCCAACAAGAACCTCAAATACTTCAAGAGCCCTCAGGCCACGTGCAGCTCAGTTTCCAGCCACAAAACATTGACGTCGAAGGTTTCAATCTCTGCATGCGACCCTTCAGTTCCGCGAGTTGACAGGTTGGCACAAACCCACGCTGCAGAAGTGGCAAGAGCCGAAGGAGCTCAGCATGATGCCCGCTTGCACAAAATCGAGGGTTCTTGGCATTTTCAATGTTCTTGTTGTTGCCCAAGTTGCATCCCGGTCTTGACACCTGGACGTCAAGTTTTGCGCCAAACATGGATTCCACCGTGAATGATTCATTCACGTGCTTGCATAACGGCGTAGCATCTGTATCGGGCTCGCGGCTTGAGGCTTCAAGCTTTCTGGAGGATGCATGTCCGGTGCAGTGCCTTCGTGGCTTTCAGGTGAGTGAGGGGCGCCTGGAGCTGCTCTGTTCCAGGCGAGGCGCCTTTGAAATGGGTGCTGCCCTTTTAGAAAACCAGAGGTCGCACTTCTCGGGATGCAAAACCTATTGGGGACGAGACACTCGCCTTGGAAGGCTGGCCTCCTCCACTGCAGCGGCCTGTCTCTCAAGGCTGGGCCCCGGGCCCTGGGCCTCGAGAATGGACCACTTCTTCAGCCTAGCTTGGGTTTGAGACTTATGGACCTGGCTTATCTCCCAACTGTTTCTTTTTTTTTCCATCGCTTGCAATCCTGAAACCCCAAATCCCCAGAACATCCCAGAACACCCTACAGCCAAGGACACAAAATTCGATGAAGCCCAAAACTCTGCACGCCACAAACATGCACCCCCGAAGCTCTGAACCCGAAACTTTCCTAATCGTAGCAGAACTAAATTATAATGCCTGGAAACATGCGGGGATTCTAGTATGAGGTGTAGCTTAAGAGTTACGTGCTGCATAGTTGAGTAGGCGAGTGAAGCCCTGAACCCTGAAGCAGAAGGATGCGTAGGAGCGAGAAAGGTTTCACTCATTTGGGGGAAGCGGGGGGGTTTAGAAAGAAGATCATTTGGGATCCGTTCTGAAGTCCCACCTGGAACCTGCGTCTCAGGCGGGCACTCCTGGTGTGGAGATATCACTGCCACGAGGTCGGCACCTGCAGGTGCAGTTATCATAGTTTCGGGGTGAAGGCTTGCTGCATCGGAGTTTGTTTTTTATTTGCCGATTCCGAGAAATTGTCTCTAGACAAGACATCCCTCCTCAGTCAGGCACGGCTGGAGGCAGTTGCCGAGAAGTCCCAGGCGATCCAGGCGGCGCCGAATGAACTTGTAGCCTAGATCACTCGAAACCAGCCCTCGGCATTCTTCGAGGATGAACAGGGGGGGTGCAAGTCCATGGGCTCGAGGATGAAGGTTCAGGAGCTTGCAGGATTTTTGTGGTGCCTTGGTGCTGCGGTGCAGATCCTTGGGCCGAGGACCCCGTGCTATCTGATTGTACCCGAGAGCCGCTTGTTGTCGCAGGGCAGTACATGTCAAGCTTCCAATACCTGTCCATGTGGGAGGCAAGCACATGACGTAGTGATCACTTTTTCACTTCGTAAGTACGAGACTAGGCAAAGTCTTTCAGCAGCCCAGTGTCACTTGGACGACTTCGGCCTCGCACAGACACGTTCGGTTCATGCAGGGCCTTCACATGTCGAAACCCTAGTATGTCCCTGAACAGCCTTTCCCGCCTGCAGACCGAGACTTTGCGTCTGAGCATCAGCGGAGAGGCAGACAAGGCTCCGACTGTGGTGTTGGGGAAGTCTGGGGAATAGCTGCAGATGATTGCCACGCAAGACATCAGACTGTCAAAGCACGCTTCGAGCAGCAGCCTGTGTGTGGAAAGCTGCCGCACGGCTGCAAGCTCTGCGGCCTTTGCCCTACCTGCAACATGCCCCCGCTAAAAATGTGGTCACGGTGTGTGTGTCCGTCAAGATTTCCGCAACCAAATGCCCAAACCACCAACACCGCTTGAATGCTGGGTCCAGCCGCTATCCCAGGCACAAGCGCTCAATGTCTCCCCATTCCCCAAAAGCTGAAAGCTGGTCGCAAAAGTTCCGCGAAGGCTGTGGCTCTGCTGTCTGCCCGCGAAGCTGCGCTGGACTGCGAGTTGGCGACCCCGTTGGGGCCCCGATGGCCTGGATGCTTTGTTGGGCTTTATGAGGCTTGTAAGATGTCTTATCTTGGCCTGTGTTTATACTCTGGGATAAGAGTACAAATGTCAGATGACTTGCATTTTCTTGGTATTTCGTCGGACTTGAATATGTTCTGGGTTGCGTCCTTCAGAGGGTTAGTCGGCAGCCCGTGAAGACTTCAGCCGGGCTTTTTGGGTGAGAAGACTGACGCGCCTCGCCCCACTTCAAGGCTGCCTCGTTGTGACGAGCTGATCTTCCAGCTGAACTTCGGCCGCAAGCGCCCGCAAACGCCCCGAGTGCCTGATGACAAAGTCCGAGCTTTATCGTCAGGTCTTTCAGGTAGGTCACCGTTTTGCACGGCGAGTATGTAGATTGTAGATGTATCACTCTCTACCCAAGCTTCTCCATCGCGATGTTCGTGTTACCGAAGTCCCTGGCAAGAAGCTGATTCTGTCTCTGGCTATCTCTCGATTCTTCCGGTTCGAACTTCAAGTTGCGATACCAAGAACTGCGGCACTCAGGCTGTCCGCAAGAGGCCCCTCCCTTCGCTACG